TTATTATTCAAGTAGACCTCCATCTCATTCGTTTTAACAAAGATATCATTTTCATTTTTTGTCTTTACTACTACAGAATTCGGCAAAGGTTTCTGGTAGTTATAGCATGTTCCATTTATTTGACTGAACACAGTTTAAAAGGCTGTGTTGGGGTGGTTACCATTCATGTGTATGTTACTTGGGGCTATGTCACGAGGATATTGCTGTTTTAGGTGTTTTAGGTCAATTCTCTGCTGAAGTCACTTATCACCTTTACCCGATCACAAAATGCGTCGTTAGAGTCATGATGAAGACTAACCAAAAAAGACTTTCATCTGAGAGCACTAATCCTAATAATTTTTGGGTGAATTTTTGCAGGCATAGCATTACAAAACTAGACCATTAGTTAATAATAAATTAACATAAAAAATGAGCCCTCGATATTAAAAATCGACCCTCGACACCTCCAACAAAAGTCGAACTCGTTTATCAGAGCCAGATGGTGTACCACAAAGTGTGAGAGGACAAAACACAAGTTGAACCAACATAAGAGCAATGGCAACAATTTATTCATAGCTGCAGATTTTAAAATGTCGCTTAGTCTGAACATCAGTAACTGAACTTTCTAATTGTTTATCAGAGCCAGACGGTGCACCGCGAAATGTGAGAGGACATAACACCAGTTCAACCAGCATTTCAGTATCGTGGGACGAAGTGCAAGCTGATCTGCGGAATGGTATCATTACTGGTTACACTATAGCGTACCATTCACAGACAAACACTTACTATGGATTTCAAAAAGCTGGTCCTAACGATCGTCAGGCCAATCTAACAGGGCTAAAGGAGTTTGTTCAATACACTATTTTCTTGTTTGCATCTACAGTGAAAGGAAAGGGACCGTATTCTGTTCTTGTTGTTAGAACAGACCAAAATAGTAAGTGGCTTAATTTATTTTCCCTTTTTCCATTAACGAAGAGTTAGTGTTTTACAGTTGAGTTTAAAACAAAATTTGATGGGTTTTTCAATGATCAATTTCTGTATCAAATTGTACTGTCCATCAACGTCACCGTTTAGGGATTTGTCGTTTTGCCATTTGACCGACTGGAAACTGTAATTTTATCTGCGTTTCTATATCGACCCGGTGACGTCACCTCTAGTTTTATTTTTCGTCATTATTTTTCGCCTCATGTAACGTAATTCGGATTCCAGAATCCAGTAAATGTTTGCCTGGGGAGTCTGGAATCCTTGGAATTCAGCTCCAGGTATCTGGAATCCCGCTAACGATTAGAATCCCAAATCCATGGCCTAGAATCCAGAATCTAACGCTATCTTACTGATTACCTTATTTGGGGCGATTTTGCTGTTAAATTGTTCCTTGTGGGGAATGTCGAAGTTATGTAGCGTCATCACGAACTAACAACAGTTACTTTGAATTTGTTCATCAGAGCCAGATGGTGCACCACAAAATGTAAGGGAACATAACATCATTTCAACAAGCATTTCAGTATCGTGGGAAGAAGTGCAAGCTGAGCTGCGGAATGGTATCATTACCGGTTACAATATAACGTACCAGTCTCAGACAGAAAATGACAGTGGAGTTGTAGAAGGTGGTCCTAACGATCGTCAGGCCAATCTAACAGGGCTAAAGGAGTTTGTTCAATACAATATTTCAGTGCTTGCATCTACAGTGAAAGGAATTGGACCGCCTTCTGTTCTTGTTGTTAGAACAGACCAAGATAGTAAGTGGCTTAATTTATTTTCCCTTTTTCCATTAACGAAGAGTTAGTGTTTTACAGTTGAGTTTAAAACAAAATTTGATGGGTTTTTCAATGATCAATTTCTGTATCAAATTGTACTGTCCATCAACGTCACCGTTTAGGGATTTGTCGTTTTGCCATTTGACCGACTGGAAACTGTAATTTTATCTGCGTTTCTATATCGACCCGGTGATGTCACCTCCAGTTTTACTTTTCGTCATTATTTTTCGCCTCATGTAACGTAATTCGGATTCCAGAATCCAGTAAATGTTTGCTTGGGGAGTCTGGAATCCCGCTAACGATTAGAATCCCGAATCCATGGCCTAGAATCCAGAATCTAACGCTATCTTACTGATTACGTTATTTGGGGCGATTTTGCTGTTAAATTGTTCCTTGTGGGGAATGTCGACCTGGTTTACGGGGCTGGCTCATTCCTTGTATTCTTGTAATATGTTGTCGTGGTATTTATATATATAGTTTTATTTTTCGTCATTATTTTTCGCCTCATGTAACGTAATTCGGATTCCAGAATCCAGTAAATGTTTGCCTGGGGAGTCTGGAATCCTTGGAATTCAGCTCAAGGAATCTGGAATCCCGCTAACGATTAGAATCCCAAATCCATGGCCTAGAATCCAGAATCTAACGCTATCTTACTGATTACCTTATTTGGGGCGATTTTGCTGTTAAATTGTTCCTTGTGGGGAATGTCGAAGTTATGTAGCGTCATCACGAACTAACAACAGTTACTTTGAATTTGTTCATCAGAGCCAGATGGTGCACCACAAAATGTAAGGGGACATAACATCAGTTCAACAAGCATTTCAGTATCGTGGGAAGAAGTGCAAGCTGAGCTGCGGAATGGTATCATTACCGGTTACAATATAACGTACCAGTCTCAGACAGAAAATGACAGTGGAGTTGTAGAAGGTGGTCCTAACGATCGTCAGGCCAACCTAACAGGGCTAAAGGAGTTTGTTCAATACACTATTTCAGTGTTTGCATCTACAGTGAAAGGAATTGGACCGCCTTCTGTTCTTGTTGTTAGAACAGACCAAGATAGTAAGTGGCTTAATTTATTTTCCCTTTTTCCATTAACGAAGAGTTAGTGTTTTACAGTTGAGTTTAAAACAAAATTTGATGGGTTTTTCAATGATCAATTTCTGTATCAAATTGTACTGTCCATCAACGTCACCGTTTAGGGATTTGTCGTTTTGCCATTTGACCGACTGGAAACTGTAATTTTATCTGCGTTTCTATATCGACCCGGTGATGTCACCTCCAGTTTTATTTTTCGTCATTATTTTTCGCCTCATGTAACGTAATTCGGATTCCAGAATCCAGTAAATGTTTGCTTGGGGAGTCTGGAATCCTTGGAATTCAGCTCAAGGAATCTGGAATCCCGCTAACGATTAGAATCCCGAATCCATGGCCTAGAATCCAGAATCTAACGCTATCTTACTGATTACCTTATTTGGGGCGATTTTGCTGTTAAATTGTTCCTTGTGGGGAATGTCGAAGTTATGTAGCGTCATCACGAACTAACAACAGTTACTTTGAATTTGTTCATCAGAACCAGATGGTGCACCACAAAATGTAAGGGGAAATAACACCAGTTCAACCAGCATTTCAGTGTCGTGGGACGAAGTGCAAGCTGATCTGCGGAATGGTATCATTACTGGTTACACTATAACGTACCAGTCACAGACAGAGAATGACAATGACATTGTACCAGCTGGCCCTAACGATCGTCAGGCCAATCTAACAGGGCTAAAGGAGTTTGTTCAATACAATATTTCAGTGCTTGCATCTACAGTGAAAGGAATTGGACCGCCTTCTGTTCTTGTTGTCAGAACAGACCAAGATAGTAAGTGGCTTAATTTATTTTCCCTTTTTCCATTAAGGGACTGGTCAAAAAGTATAGGGGGGGGTGGGCCGGAGCATTTGGAAATGTGGTTGATAAAAAACACGTGACCCACCCCTCCCTTCGGCACAAAAATGACTGACCCACCCCTAAAGCAAGGTTGGAAATTGCATGACCCACCCCCTAATTAAAACATGGACGTTCGGTTTCCTCTTAATAATCCAATAAAACCTTGTTCTGTACTTGACAAAATTTGTTGATACACTGCTACAACCAACATCAAAATCACAAGAAATTATAACTTTCACTGAAAAGACAAATGTCAAAAACCGAACATTTCTTGTTTCAATGGACGTTATGAGTCTTGACACAAATATACAGCAAAACGAGGGTATATTGAAATTATCTGTCACAAAGCATATGAAAATTTCAACAAAGACAACCCATTCCTACACATTACTTGCCGGAAATGCTTAGATTAATCCTCAAATCAAATTCCTTCCACTTCAGTGGAAAGCACTACTTACAAGACCATGGAACTGCAATGGGCACAAAGACAACAGTTTTGATTCCTTTGCCAATATTTTCATGACATATATTGAAACAACAATTCTAAGCAAAACTGTCTTTAGAACAACAGTTTGGAAATGCCACATACACGATATCTTTTCCCTATGGGACATGAGTAAACCAGACATCGAAGCCTTCATTGAACAAGCAAGCTTAGATCACCCAACTATTGAATTCACGGCCAAAACATTTGACACTGAGACTGCGTTTTTAGACGCGGTTGTATACAAAGGCACAAGATTCAAGGAAAAATCTATCCTTGATGCAAAGACACATTTTAAACAAACGGAAAGCTTCTTGCGCACACATTTCACCTTGTGTCACGTTTTTTCTGGCTGAAATTTTCGAAAAGGTAAGTTTTGATCCCTATAATTTTCGTATCACTAGACTTTCAGCCAGGAGATCCGAACAGACAAAAAATTTTTGGGGGATAAAAGTACGCCTATATCTACTGTTTAAATACTAAGATACGTTTAACAATGCTATGTTTAAGTGGTTTTGAACTATATTCTCGTTGTGTGCCCCCTATCTTTGATAGAAAACCTACTATCAGAAATAAAAGTCACAAAAGGAAGTCTAAACTCCTAAAACAAAACAACAAGGAGGAAACAGAAATATTGTCATTCGTGACCCAATACCAGCCCTCAGTGTCTACTATAAAGAAAGCTTGAATGAAAAAATGGAATCTTATACAAAACTAACTATAACTGCAATAAATTTTTAAAGAACCACCAATCATTTCCTTAAAAAAAAGGAAAATTGTTAAAGAACATGCTCGTTAGAGCCGAAAAAAAAGGTTAACAGAGGGTTCCACGCCCGTATAGATGTGCGGCCTGTCAACCTTTGTATTTTCTCGCACAGCAGGTTTGTGAGTATTTTAGCAATAATTCCAGCTGGCTGTGTTTTATATAACAAGTGTAGTCAACTGTCTCGTTAGTAGTTAGTAAAAAATAGGGTGACCCACCCCCTAAGAGTAGCTGAAAATTGCTCGACCCACCCCTTGCACAAGGCTCAAAACCCCATGACCCACCCCCTCTCTGCTCCGGCCCACCCCCACCTATACTTTTTGACCAGTCCCTAACGAAGAGTTAGTGTTTTACAGTTGAGTTTAAAACAAAATTTGATGGGTTTTTCAATGATCAATTTCTGTATCAAATTGTGCTGTCCATCAACGTCACCGTTTAGGGATTTGTCGTTTTGCCATTTGACCGACTGGAAACTGTAATTTTATCTGCGTTTCTATATCGACCCGGTGACGTCACCTCTAGTTTTATTTTTCGTCATTATTTTTCGCCTCATGTAACGTAATTCGGATTCCAGAATCCAGTAAATGTTTGCCTGGGGAATCTGGAATCCTTGGAATTCAGCTCCAGGAATCTGGAATCCCGCTAACGATGAGAATCCTAAATCCATGGCCTAGAATCCAGAATCTAACGCTATCTTACTGATTACCTTATTTGGGGCGATTTTGCTGTTAAATTGTTCCTTGTGGGGAATGTCGAAGTTATGTAGCGTCATCACGAACTAACAACAGTTACTTTGAATTTGTTCATCAGAGCCAGATGGTGCACCACAAAATGTAAGGGGACATAACATCAGTTCAACAAGCATTTCAGTATCGTGGGACGAAGTGCAAGCTGAGCTGCGGAATGGTATCATTACCGGTTACAATATAACGTACCAGTCTCAGACAGAAAATGACAGTGGAGTTGTAGAAGGTGGTCCTAACGATCGTCAGGCCAACCTAACAGGGCTAAAGGAGTTTGTTCAATACACTATTTCAGTGTTTGCATCTACAGTGAAAGGAATTGGACCGCCTTCTGTTCTTGTTGTTAGAACAGACCAAGATAGTAAGTGGCTTAATTTATTTTCCCTTTTTCCATCAACGAAGAGTTAGTGTTTTACAGTTGAGTTTAAAACAAAATTTGATGGGTTTTTCAATGATCAATTTCTGTATCAAATTGTACTGTCCATCAACGTCACCGTTTAGGGATTTGTCGTTTTGCCATTTGACCGACTGGAAACTGTAATTTTATCTGCGTTTCTATATCGACCCGGTGATGTCACCTCCAGTTTTACTTTTCGTCATTATTTTTCGCCTCATGTAACGTAATTCGGATTCCAGAATCCAGTAAATGTTTGCTTGGGGAGTCTGGAATCCTTAGAATTCAGCTCAAGGAATCTGGAATCCCGCTAACGATTAGAATCCCGAATCCATGGCCTAGAATCCAGAATCTAACGCTATCTTACTGATTACCTTATTTGGGGCGATTTTGCTGTTAAATTGTTCCTTGTGGGGAATGTCGAAGTTATGTAGCGTCATCACGAACTAACAACAGTTACTTTGAATTTGTTCATCAGAACCAGATGGTGCACCACAAAATGTAAGGGGAAATAACACCAGTTCAACCAGCTTTTCAAAATAGTCAATCATTATTTTCAACACCCAGCATTTCCGGATATAAACAGTTTCTGTAGTAAACATTTGTATACGAAGCTATTATTTTAGTTAAGAGCTGAACATAGCTACGGTACTAGAAACACAAGGTCAGGCAAACAAAACTGCTTAAAACTACCACAGACATAAATTTTACCCTGGTTGGTCTGTTTGGTATTCATATTTAGCTATCTTTCGGTCACATGTTGACATTTATTCCTCAAATCGAGGTATATTTTACGTTTGCGTTTCTGGATTGTGTTCGTTATTACGAGGATTTCGTTAAATCGAGGTTCTGTTCCTCACATTTTATTGCCATTTTGGCCGGGCTGAAGAAAGTCGATCGTTGTACCGAGGACTTCCTTTTGTAGAGGTTCGTTATATTGAGGTTCCACTGTGTGATGTAAGCCAGCTGTGTTAGGTAGGCTGACCTGCTTTACCGGGCTGGCTCATTCCTTGTATTCTTGTAATATGTTGTCGTGGTATTTATATAAGAAGGCGGGCTGCCTTGCTCAGTTCTGAGATCCCGGTTCGACCGATCTAGCCCACCACTCATTAACAGGCCCCTAAAACCACGTAATCTGTTTACAGTACCTTCAGCTGCTCCTGAATTGTATAGTGCAGAAGCAATAAACAGCACCAGCGTTCTTCTGAAATGGCAACGTGTTCCTTCCGAGTCCAGGAATGGCATAATTACGTATTACACCATACACTTCAGGGAAGTGGAGAAGAACAAAAATAACTCAGTGGAAGTCAAAGCACCAGCTGAAAGTGCAACTGTTAATGGGTTGAGGCAGAAGGCAAAATATAAGTTTTGGATGGTGGCTGGAACTTCAAAGGGCGATGGACGACAACCTAGTGCAACTAAAACGGCTACAACTGACGGTAAACAAAACAATACATTTATTGGTATTGCGCACCAGATTACTACTACTACCACTACGACTACTACTATTATTATTATTAGTATTATTATTATTATTGATGTTTCCTGGAATTTCTCTGACAAGTTCCTCTGAACCTTTATTAATCACCTCTAACGCACCTACAACCGCTGGAATTATTTCTCTCTTCATCTGCCACATTCTGGTAATTTCGATTTCCAGATCTTTATACTTGGAAAGGTTTTTGGAAACCTTGGTGTAGGTAGTTTTATCAGAGGGTGTAGCTACATCGATGAGAGTGCATTTCTCATGCGGATTGTTGTTATTGTTTTTGTTGTTGCTGTTGTTGTTGTTCTTATTATTATTATTATTATTATTGTTATTGTTACTATTACTATATTATTATTATCATCATTATTATTATTTTATATGTTTATTTATTTTTTCTTCAAGACGCACTTGGGAGCGCACGTTGCAGATCGAATTATAGCGAGCTTAAGCAAAGAGGTTTCTGAGCGACGCACGTCAACCGAAAGTCGACTTTTTGCATTCATGGGCAGTGTTTTTGCCCAAAATAATTGGCAAGATCGTCTCTATAAGAATAGGACACTCGGAGATACAAATTTGGTAAGCGTCAAAGCATATTAAAAGAAGTTCCTCACTTCTAGTTGACGTGACTCATAAAAACCTTTGCTTAAGCTCCCATATAATTCTGAATTGTTGGGTTTTAAGAAAGGCAAAAGGCATTTTGAAGTCTTAAAAAACTTCTTGGAGCAAAGGCGAGAACCAAAAAGGATTTGGATCGATCCACTGATTGTTTTCTATAACGCATCGTCCACAAAAAATAGTTTTGAAATATGTTTGTAGAAATTAATCGTTATGGTAAGAAAAAATAATGCAAGAACTCTCACTCCCAACATGAGGCTAACTCTACAACCGTCAAAATATCAATAACTTTTAGTTAAGTGGAGAAAACAAGGTGCTGGTCTTGGTTCTGTCGTTGTTGCTGTTTCTTTTCTTTTCTTTTCACATATATTTTTTCTCTTTTGGGAGACATCGACTTCCCCGCCTTCCTTTAGAAAAATGAAGCTTGGGAGAACTCAGAAGTGGCTTATTTGTCGTATTTCTCACGCCGCATTGTCAATATGAATTTAGACAAGTATATAGAAATCATGAAATACCCATGATTATCCAGTGAAGGGTGTTTTTTGGTCGTTGACTGCTTTTGTTGATGTTCTCAACTTGAGTGCTTATGAATGAAGAAAAATGGATTAATTCTACACTTCTAAGTAAGTAAATTTTTTTTGTTTGTTTGTGTTAGCCGTGCCGACGAAACCACCGCCTCAAGATGATGCCATTGGAACAAATGAAGTTAAAGTGCCGTTTGTAAACAAGGAAACTTTAAGCAGTGGCAAAAAAGTTAAGTAAGTCCGCTATATACTTTGCTTTACTCCAGAACTGATCCATCCAGCTTCATTTTATTAATTTATGGTCTTGTGGTCTATACCCTGTATGAAGTGGTTTTTTATATCTTTGAGAGGCCCAAAAGGAAAACGTCTATTTGTGCAAATTTATGAGCCGTTATATAGATTTCTGCAGTCATTCCTCAGACGTCATTTCGTGGAGAAACCATAGAAGTGGCGTCGCAAAGTGTGGGCTGTTTTGTCGTGTTAATAATTCAAAGTGCACTATGACGTAGCTTTAGCGATGTTGCCTACTTAGAAACTTTGCGTTAAACAGTTTCAGAGCTAACTTTCATTTGATCCCGAAGGAACCGCTTTCGGGGGAATAATTCCATCGATATCTAACTGTACATGATATTAGAGAGGTTAAGCATCACGTTTACTTCAAACGCCAAACGCGAATTTGTACCACGTGAAAGATTTTTCCCTTTGCTTGTCGCCTACTGTTTATATTATTATTTCTACACATAGATTAGCAGTTTCACGCAATTTTTTATCCATCAGAATTTTCTGAACTGTTTTTATCTGCTCATTTTCTATTTTGAGAAATTCTCAACTTGAATCTGACGTTTGCCGTATACTTGAAGCTTAAACTCTCTATGACCTTTCTGTAGCTATTTTCAGATAATTGTCACACCATTAAAAGAAAAAGATGTTCTGGGAAACACTGCGGATGCTAAATACGAAACAGTCGACCTGATTTACGAAGATCAAGAGGAAGGAAAACCTTACATTACTGCCGAGTTTTCAAAGGGTCTGTTCACAACAGAATTCCCAGTTGGAGACGGGAAATACTACTCACGAAATGGTGTAACCAGCCCTAAAAGAAAACGCAGAGCTGCCGGTAAGTTGGCTCTAGACCTTTGGGTCACTATCTTATCTGGCGTTGAGAGATATGTGACACCACACAGGGCATGGTTTTCGTGGTAATAGCGAATTTAAGCAACTACGACGACGACGACGACAAAGTCAGAAAAACAATCGAATTTATGAGCAAAACAACAGCTTTGCTCGTGCATCACGCTTTTAGTACATTTCTTTGACGTCCCTTGCACGACTACGACGTGAAACCTCGGCCCAATGGGACGTTTTGTGGAGGACGTGAACATACGGCGACAGATTTTCCTTTCTTTATTTGAACATGGATAAAGCATTACATTTGACGAATTGAACTGTTCAAAACAAAAGGCTTGGCTGGGATAACGCAGATACAGGCAATTAGTAATACCTGTATTTTGTGAATTGATTTCTGCATTGATTTGCTGTTACTTTATTTCCACGGTGAAACTGTCAAGTCATTGCCTTTACATTCTCAACTTTGCTACTGAAGGAAAATCTCCCTAAAATTCCGGCTAAATAAAAAGTACTCGGTGGATATGCTTAGAGCCCCTCTGAGAGATACTCTTATGGTAAGAGTTAAAACAGATCAATGGTTCTCTAACTGTGACGTTTCTTTGTTGTTTTATTTTTTTTTACTAGTTGTGACGTATCTAAACGGAAAGCTTGACGATGATACCAAGTACGCCGTATTTCAGCGTTCTTTTCATACTGATAATGATTACGAGAACGAAGGGTTTATCATATTCACCACCAACAAGAACAACACGGCCACTGTTGTAGCAGGGGTGGTTGTTTCGCTCATTGTGGTTGCTGTTATTGTAGTGATAGTCGTCCTCTATATTCGTCGAAGAAAGAGGGATAAAGCTGCTGATGGTGAAAACATGCCCGTGAACTCTGAGCCACCCCGTACTACCCGTACTAAATCAGTCACCGAAATTTTCCGAAAATCAGGAATTGGTAAGTCATTCTTTAGAAAGGTCGCCAAAAGGTCTTTCGGGATCCGAGATTTTCCTTATTTAAAGTACGGGATTCCCTGACCGGATTCTGATTTTAAGCGAAATCGGGGCAAGATTTGGCCGGGATTGAAAGTATACACGGAAGGTGGGATGCCGAAACTGATTTATAACCATCGGAATTACGGGATTGCAAAGAAATTTTCGTCGCGATGATGGTATTAAAGAACATTATTGGAGACTCTCCTGTAGTAACCTGTTGATCTGTTGAGCAAGGCCTTTTGCATCGTCATACACTGCGAGCAGAGGTCTCTGTTTTGAATGGCTTTTAGCGTTTACGAATTCGTTCGCATCGTCTGTCAGTCGCTTGTCACTACGCGACTGAAAAGCGACGCGAACGACTTCCTAAACGCTAACAGCCATGCAACTGAGAAATCTCTGCTCGCAGGGTTGCATCGTCAGGACTTGGCTAGCACCAAATCGACCTCTTTTTGTCACTAATACGGGGTAAAAATTTGTCACTAATCCCAAGCAAGCGAGGCGAGGGTAATTAGTTCGCGAAGAGGTGAGGGACGCCGTCGCCAGAGCGGTCGACTTCTCCCACTCGAAGGAATTTGAATCTAGCTTCCCACCAAAAGCCAACGTTGTGGGGCTGTGTTAGTTGATCGGTGATTTTTTTTGTAATTTATACAGCCACCAGCTTTTGGGTCGCTAAAATATGCTTGCTTCAAAAGAGAAAAGTCTTTTTTATACTTGACAAAACAAAACCGCGCAACCACATAGAGCTTTCTTAAAGTATAAGCCAGGACGTAGTTATTCCAATCTCGTTTCTTAGATTGGTGGAATGAAACATTCCTTTTTTTGAAATACATCAATAAGGTTATTCTCTAAAAAATATGCAGTGGGGCGAAGCCCAACAAACACACTCAGTAAACATAGGAACTAATTTACATTGCACCAAACGTTTGCACTGTTGTGTACAGGTTTACTGTGCTTTTTGGGGGTCGTCGTGCAAAGCCCCTCCTTACGTAAATTTAAGTAACGTAATTTTGGAGAGAATGTTTTTGTGACGGCCCAAGTGACGGCTGGCTGTGTAGAAGACTTCATGTTTGACAGAATTAATTGATTTTTATGTTTGTAATAGAGGGCTCTTTGTGATGTCTATCATATAGGTCACAATGGTTATGAATCTAAAATAAACGTCCCTGAAGTTTGAAATAATAATTCCAGACGTACCAAACCCTTCCCCTAAAAATTAATGATGAAAGCCACAAGTGACCTTTCTTACAGGCCAAGGCAGTGTAACTGTTGACTACATTGTATCAACTAAGGAAGCTCTCCCTGATTTAAGCACTACCACAAGCCCATGATTTATGACGAGAAATTTCATTTACATTCAATGTGCACTTTGATACAGTGAGTCCGTCATAATTGAGCTTATGTTGCTAGAAGTGCCACCCGAACGGGTTACTGCCATGGAGGAACTGGGACGAGGTGCTTCTGGAAGAGTTTTTAAGAGCGTGATGAGGGGGCTACCTGAAAAGATGACGTCCTCGAAACGCAAGGATCACAGTTTGGATTTGCATGAGGGACGTATTGTTGCTACAAAAGTTCTAAGAGGTGCGTGGATTTAGAATAGGGCAAAAAGTTGACTTATTCTTTCAGCAGACGTCTCAATGCTTAACTGATTCACGGGAGTGACTCTTAACAGGTTTCAATTATTTAATCCGATAGGCAGCAACTATTATATTGTGTTAAACAGCATCTCAATACCCCAGTCAGTCACAGGGCGATGTACCTCACGGGTCCATTTTAGGTCCTTTATTTTTTCCTATGTATATTAATGACCTCCCTGAGTGTTTGCAATTTACCAAACCAAAGTGTCGCCGTGGGCCTCCGCTAAATCGACTGTCGGATAGACGTTTTGTAATGAATATATCAATGTAGACATAAAAACCTTCAGTGAGACCAGCACATTGATAACGTGTGCTCCAAGGTTAGTCGTGTTATAAGTGGCTTAGGCAGGCTCGAGTTTATGTGTCATTAAATGTATTGAAAAGTATATAGCGCTTTAATATAGCCTACCTTAGACTACTCTGACGATGAATGGGTTAACCTGAATATAGGGCTATTGTAGTCAAAAATGGTGTGTGTGGTTGTAAATATGACCACATTACTGCTTTACCAAGAGAATTACATTGGCCTCCCTTGGAGCATGGGTGGCGGATTTTAAATTATGCAAATCCGACCTATAATCTTCATTTGTTTCAAACTTACAAACCTGTTGGGGGTTTACGATCATCAACCATGAACTTGTTAGTGACACCCAGATCAAGGTTAAAATTTTAACGGACGATCATGCTTTTTTGTTTTGTGACCCTAAACTTTAGAATGATTCTCCATAGCACTTACAGTGTAAAATAGAGTTTGAATATTCGTCCTTCGAAGAGCAATCTTAAAGCTTTAAAAACTTCTAAGCGTTATTTTTATTTCTTAGTTTTGTTTAACAATTTTTCATTTTCGTAATCAAACGAGTTACTGTTTTCTAGTCGTTTAAGTTGAAAACATTTATTGTAAAGCGCCTTACAGCTTGATGATGATAATGATGATGATGATAATGATGACGATGACGGTAAGCCGAAAACCCTTTATGAAACCCACCTACAAAACGCATACTGGGACTTCCCTGTCTATGCAGAGTCAATGAAAGTGAGCCAATTGGATACATGCGTTAGGATTACAAATGTACACTCAACGGTCCTCAAGGAAAGTCATATTACTGGAGATGAAGTGCCCATGGGTCGAGAATAGGGAAGCAATTAAAGAACACAAAACGTGACGTCTAGAATTAAAGAGACAAGTTTCCGGACTAAAAGATCATCGAGTATTACATCATGCTACATGTCGTGCCTGGTGATCGCTAAATGAAGAGAACTGACGGCTCTTTTCTTTGTGACTTTGTTTTATCTAAGTCACTTAACTTAGGGAACCGTTTTTTTAATAAATAGATCTTTTCACAAGCAGAAATCGGGACCTTAACTATTGACTGTGTTTTATTTTCACTGGTTAAATATACTTTCATTTTTATTAATTGGTTCTTTTTTTCTTTACATCTGGTTTTAGATGTTTAGTACTAGCTGATATCCTGTAGTATTTACGTAGGTCACGGTTACTAGGTTTTTTGTAGATGTCTTTCTTTTTCTTCAGAAAATGCCACGGAGCAGGACAAAAGGCAGTTACTTCAGGAAATCGAGCTGATGAAGGAAGTCGGGACACACCCTAATATTGTGAGCATGCTCGGCTACTGGATCCAATCACCTCCCATTATGTTAATCATGGAATATGTTCCAAACGGAGATCTTCTTCGATGGCTCAGAAACAAAAGGAAACAGGTATCATTACTTTATCAGCAGTACCAATAAGAATTTGCTGCCCTCTTTTGTGCCTTTTCTTAAAAAATACCTGCTGTCCATTCGCAATAGCGCTGGTATAGGTACCATTTATAGAACTCAAACTCGGACAAACAAATTCCTCAATGTTGTTTGTCTTTAAAATGTCAATTTGTCTGACTTTTATCATGAAAAAATGGCAGAAGTCAGACAAACATTGCAGATTAGTCATCTGACGTCATTAGTATTCTGTGCTGTACTTTAATTTTCTAATGAACATCCTGCTGCGTGTATATGTTCCTTTTGTTACATTGTGTGGTCTCTTAAGGCAGACACACGTCTAAAAACCATCGTCTTCAGTAAAAATAATAAGATGCTAAACAACTTGAAGTGAGAATTTGTACATGTTACCTATAATTTAAGTTCTCAAAGACAGAGGTGAACTTAAAAATGTAGATATCAATACAACCGGATATTCGTATTTTTCCAAACGCGGTTTATACAGCCAGACTGTTTAGATGCTATTCATGTATTCGGAAAACAAAGATCGGTAAATACACAAAAATTTGTCTTCAACACTAAGTGAATAAAGTCAAGCTTGCTCCGGTAGGATCAGTTAAGGTTTCCGGAAAACTGCCTACCTATCCCTCCCCTAAGCCACTGTTGTCGTCGTTTCGCTGTTCTTCAAGATTCATTATTTAATTCTCAGTGTCTCAGTTTTCTTACAGTTCAAGTTAATTAGCATTCACGCGTCGAAATCGGCTCGCCTCTTTCACTTCTACATTTCGAGGATTAATAGTGCGATTTACAGAATGATTCGCTGAAAAAGGAAAAAAGGCCAAATATCCTGATGAGAAATTCGCTGAAAGCATGAAAAACTCTTGAAAAAACTACTTACACTAGCGTGAATTATCTCCGGGTCTTTGTTTCTAAATCTGAATTCTTCTGTTCATGTCCACTGCTAGCTCAAACTGAATTTTTAAACATAGCGCTTGAATGCAGAATACCCTTAGCGAATTTAAGGGACGTGTTGCTATCGGCAACGGATTTAATTTATACCACCACATTTTTCCCTAAGTGAGAAGGTAGTGTTAATTTTGTCTTACGGGAGGGGTAGGTGGTCAGAAAAGAAAAAAAAAACTTGACGTTTTGAGCGTTTCCCCCAGGGGGTACTCCCGCCTGGTAGGATGAGGATCTCCATCCTTAAATATTGTATCATTGTTGCTCTTATTGGCGTAGTGTTGCCGATGGGATCCTTAGATAGGGTACCGTTATTCTATCATTATTCTATACGTGCGTATATTATATTGTTTTTCGCTTGTCTCAACTATTCAAAATGTTTGACAGTACCCCCCTCCCCCCCCCAAAGGGGCGTTAACCTTTTCTGGTCAGAATGAATCACGGGATTACTAATAGGGGAGCTACGCTATTGTTTGAACATGGTAACTAGACAAGAATAGTTTACTTCAACGAACGCTTTTCATTCTAGTAATTTAATTTTTTTTTTCATTTTCCCATGTATTCACCGTAGTTGAGCTCCGTTATATGATGAGGGTCTCAATGGGGTTAACCGATAGGCGTAAAACGGCCAAAAATTTAATCGATAGCCGTAAAAATTGAAAAATTTTAACCGTTAGCCGTAAATAGGGTAAAAAAGAGTTAACCGTAAAAGAAATTGTTCCCTAGATTTGCTACTCTTAAGGAAGGTACTAAACTCACTTATAGTTCCGTTTTTTATTTCCCGGCTAGTGTGGCTCCGTACGCACGTTAGGTAAAGCGCCTTTTAGGTGTTGACGAAGACCCTGGTTCCATTTCCGCCGCTCTCTCGGGGAACTAATTTTTTTTCCATAGCGAAAGTGTGGCTTCTTGCTGGGGATTAATATTTGCGATATTCAGAAGGTCGTGCCCTTGAAACACTAGTAAAACAACACGCAGAGATCTCACTGTTTTGTAAAACACGTTGCCGATAAACAACATTTCCCTGTTTTTCTCTGACGCTACGGTAGACATTGCCATGCCTAGTCCCTGTACGGCGTCTTCCCACGCAATCTCGGTCAAGGCATTTCGGTGGCGAACTCGCTCGGACCCCGTGACCCGAAACGCATCAGCCGCACGAAATAATGAGGCCTACGGACAAGGCAACGGCTGACAGTGGTTCCGTACAGTCCTTCGCTATCATTAAAAACACTGGTCACGGGAATTTTGTTATTGGCCGTTTTCACACTAGAGCTAGAAACGGATTATCCGTCTGAGACTAGCCTGTGTACAGTCGCCCCCTTCCCGACAGACACCCCTTCTCCGATTTTTCTCTGATGGGAGGGGCGGCTGTACATAGGCTATCTGGAACGGATAATCCCGTCTTCAAACTGTCCGTCGAAATTGTATTGAAGGATAAAGTCAGGCGGATTGTTCATTCAAAATTAAACCTATTCCATTTTCAAATTAAGACGTATTACCTATCTGACGCGAATCATCAAACGGATAACCCGTCTCACACGAATAATCCGTCTCTAGTGTGAAAACGGCCATTTCTGTTGTAATGAATGTCGCGCCCCGGCCTTGAATTGGGCGTTCGCGTGTGTGCTTTGCTTTTGCACAAAGATTATTTTTAAATTGACTATTGACATTTCTGTGTGTAAAATAATATTAGAAGTGGAATACTTTACAAAAAGTATGATCTATCAAATGTAAAAATTTTCCAAAAGAATAGCTTATTTCATCCCAAGATGATCTTAAGACCTTTATTTTAATACAGGTTAATTAATATTTAACTTTTTGAAACAAAAGAAGTTAATTTTCAACTTTTTTGTTAACCGTAACTGAAAAAAATTAGCCGATAGCTGTAAAAGAACCAAAATTTTAGCCGATAACCGTAAATGCCACCACCCCATTGAGACCCTCTTTAATGAACCGTCCTTGATTCGAGCAGACAAAGGGCTTCCACTCAAAATGCCCGTCAGCTTTTCGACCCCACGGTCTTTCAATGGTGGCAAGATGAGTTATTCAAATCAGCGGATAACACCAGAGTTTTGCTTTTCACCCTTCGACCGACGTAGTAGAAAGTTTCTTTCCAAAATACCCTTCAAAACATTTTGGTGGAGATAATGATTGTCCGTCCCGAAAGCTCTGTACGAGACATGACGTCACAAGTGGCATTAGGTCAAACCATAGTTAATAGAGGGAATGGTTATGAAACCCGACAAAGTTCTTTGTTGTATGTTTTTGTTCTCTTTTTTGGCCTTGACCCTGCACAAAACACAATAGTTGTTTACTCCGTACTGAGGAACTAACCAATAGAAACGTGCTGGTTACGTAATTCATGCATAACGTATGAACGCAAAACAAAAGATTGTGCAGGGTCGTGGACCTTCTAACATAAATCTTGGCATCTTTGTTTGCTCCTTTGATGTTTGCCGGGCTTCATAACCAGTCACCTCCATTAACTATGGTCAAACCAAATATCAAGAAGCACACGTCTTGTTTTTGGGACTGTGTATCTTAAAATGTCATAGAAAATTGTAACCAAAGCAAAAGAAAAGCTTTGTTTCTATTGCAGTTTAATCCATTTGAATTTTCCGTGGACGATTTAAAGAAAGTTGGCCCATAAGGTTTTCCCGGCTAGATTTTCAGTTTAACGTCGTCGTCGTCGCTCCTGGAGATTTTGCCGAAAAACGCGTTTTGAAGCTAGTCGAGTGGTTTTCTGGTCACTGTCGTGCTATAAAGAGCTAAAACTTACCACAAACCGGTTTACAGGTCGTACACTTGGCAGCCTTCTGATCCAGATGCAAAATATCAGCTTGCGAAGTTCGGGCATGCGCAGAAAGCCAAATTTTTTGGGGGTTTAAAAGTGACACAGCAGTCTTGACTTTTACTTTTCGCTTTCTCTCCTCCCTTCTTTTTTCGCTTTTCTTGCCTCATTTTTTTTTTCTCTTGCTGGGCATTTAATAGGCTTCATTTTGGTGGGAAGAGTTTTTAGGAAAGCTTTTAGGATCTTAGGATTAGGTGAAAGGAAAGGTAGGTGGGTAATGGAACAAGATTTTCATGGAGATTTTCAGGTCCTTGTCACGTGGTTTTTTGCTTCTTTCTCCGGTGTCCTTGACTGAATTGTGCTCATTCTGGTATGGTTTGAAAGATCTGTTCACTCTGCACAAGTTAGCGAAGAAAGTTGTCCTTGACCGTTAAAACTGATGACGTCACAAAGGGTAGAAAGGTCCTGGATCCGCACGGGCGGTTACCGGCGGTTCAGGGGCGAATGGGTTAAGTAATCTTTCAATTCACATGGATTCCTTTCAATGGGTAAAAATATTTCGGCTAACCAACTGATAGTGTTGAAATTGTTTCTGCTAACGAAACCGTTTCATGACCAGACGGAATTCATTTCAATATTTTTTTTTCAGCTTACAATAAAAAAGAGTCGTCAAAGTAATGTCGTTGAAAGGCTTAAGCCTCCTGTTCCTGAGAGGCCGAAATTGGTGTCCAGGAACCCGCAAACAAAAGATGTCCTGGATGAAAACCTGAAAGAGGAGAACAGGGAAAGAAATAATGAAGAAAGTGGAAAAGACGGTGGTTATCATTCCAGCGAGACGAAGGAAATTAAAATCGACCTGGACGACGTTGAAATAGGAATTCTAATCAACGCTGCTCCTCGATCTGAGATAGAATCTCTCTGCATAAACCTGGAAGACGAAGATGACAAGGAGGAAGAAGAAAGTGTCAGCACGTCACTTCCACAAAATGAAGGGCGAGAGGGACCGGTTATGTCGGTGATGGTGGTACCTTCGATCAGTATTGCCCATTTCTCCAAAGAAAAAGAGCTCACTCTTGCTGAGCCTTTAAGAAACGTCGAACAAAAGATCACCATCGAGAAAGAAAAAGGCAGCTGTGAGGGCAAGGAAGATGATGAAGAAGACATTTCTGGGGAAGAAGTTCTATGTTATGCGTGGCAGATTGCTAAAGGGATGGTAAGAACGTTTTCGACATCGTTTGCAAAGCACAAAAATCTGCCTCTTCTCCGTATTTAAAATACTTTTCTACTAGTTTTTCCGTGTCTGCAAGTATTATGCTATCCGGTCATGAGACGGCAGAATTTTCAAGCATTCAAATTGCTGCAGTAATTATAACAGACTATAATAGGGCTAACTACTATCTTGCTAAATTTTTCGTGAAACACAACTCATATAAAATTGAGCCGTTTGATTTTAAAAGAGGTCAACAACGAGTTTTTTTATAGCCCGGGAAGCCTAAAAATCACATGGAGCCGTTGTGAAGGTACCTATTGAAAAATCAGGTGTGTTCGTATTTTCGAAAAGGAGTGTCATGAATACAGCCAAATGACCGGAATAAGGCTAAACTATCAGTTATTTCATTTGAATCGTACAAGCCTGACATACGGTGACGTAGCCAGCTTTTCGACTAGTTGTAGACCTGGCTGACTTTCATTTCCACATATCCTGAAAATTGCACGCATGACCAGTACGCACTGACGTCACCAACACTTTGAGCTCTTGTGCTTTTTTAGCTCACCCCAACAACTTATAATTTATTACCAGCGGTAGAGTGGTCAAACCAAAAATTCTACGCCCCTCACATTCAAGGCAGAACAGGAAATAGAAAGCAAAAAGGAGAGGAAAAGAAAAGAGGGTTAGTAGAGAAAAGAAAAAGCAATGGTTAAATTTGTTTTCGGGACTGGATGACTGAGCAGCAAGGAATCGGAATCTTGGAAAGCACAATAAACGGTCTGCAAGTGGAACTGATGGCTAAAGCTAAGGGAACGGCCACTATGATGGTATTTGCTAACTATAGTAAGCTAAATTGATATATCTGGTAGATCAGCTGTATCTTTGGCGTTTGGGTTTCGCAAATATCACCCTCCTCGATCCGCATAACTCTGCCTCATCCAATAATTGCTGTTTATTCATTCGTATGAATGAACATTTTTAATTAAAAAAATCTAATCTCTAAATGAATAATGTTCACCAAGTATGCTGTTTTGGGCGACTTTGAAATATAAATCACCAGTATAGTAAGAACTAATGGGTTTTTTTTTTCTTTTTCGGGCGTGGCAGTCCAAGAAGGGCTTGATTCCACTCACCCCAAGTCTCGCTGAAAAACAGCATTTAATTAAAAGTCAACAGGTGTCAACGGTCTTTCTTCCGCGGTTGAAAACTTAAAAGCCCTATTTTTCAGCAAATATTCATCCCTGTGAGTTATCGAGGGCAAAATTGTATGGAAGTGATCTCAAGGGGAATAAAAATTACTTCGAGTTATCTAGGGTTCGAGTTACCGAGGGTAAAATTACAGTAAATGTATGAAAGAAATCCAGGGGAAATCCATTTTGGTTCGAGTTAGCGAGGGTTCGAATTATCGTGAGTCGACTGTAGTTCACTTAGCTCGTTTAACTTTGACGACATTTTGTGCTGAAAAGTGTTCGTCGCAGCGATTTCTTGGTCAATTCCTTAATTTGTTTCTTCGTTTTCCAACAGCTGTGACGAAAATCCTCCCTCCATTCTTCATGAATAGACCAACGATCACTTCCTCCCGCTTTCCGGACCGTTTGCTTGGCACAGCTTGCAGTAGCCTGTTCCAGGCTCTCGATAGTAAGGATGCGCGTAAGTGTAAGGCAACGGCAAAGCGTGATCTTGGAAAAAGGGGACGGTGGCGGGCTATCTTTGAGCCTGGAACAGACGTTTCATTGCACTTGGTTGCTTTTCACACCAAATCGTTAAATCGGGGGTTCGTTTACAACGATATTCCGATTAACTGCTATCCCCCTGCCATATCGTAAAATCGAGGTTCCATTTTACTTTCATATTGACCAATCAAATGGAAATTTGTGTTGATCTAGAGGTATCTGGTAACTAAAAATTGTTTGAGAATTAATTTTCATTAATTCTCTGCCAGGAATACTTGGCCAGCAAAGGATTCATTCATCGTGATCTGGCAGCCCGTAATATCCTACTTGGTGAGGACAGAGCGGTGAAGATTGCTGATTTTGGTTTGTTACGCCGCGCAGATGAGAGTGAGATATACGAAGTTACGAGCGTAAACAAGCTACCAATGAAATGGATGGCACCTGAAGCGTTGGAGAGCGGCATTTTTACTTTCAAGACTGACGTGTAAGTATATGTTAATGAGGTCACAGTTAGGCCAAGCTTAAGCTTCCTGTGATGCAGTGTGAGGTTGAGGTGCAATGTACTGTTAGAACTGTCTGAAAAAAGAAGAGCACAATATTGATCATGACACTGTCTATAGTAGCGGTTATCACTCTATCTCTAAAGAAATACTAAAGTGTTTGGCAAACATTAGCCTGTTCCAGGCGTGAAGCTAGAAAATAAGATATATAAATAGAAACTTTGAGCCGATCAAGTTAACCTGAGACCATCTTGGATCCTGGAATCCACGCTCCACATCCCGCATTCCAGATACTGGATTCTGGATTACAACTCAGTGTATTTCCGATTTCAAAAGGCTTAGATTCCAGAATTTCATAGTTAGCAGGATTCCGGATTCCAAAGTCCATGACTCCGAACAAAAATTTCCTGGATTACTATCCATGGGGCGAGATAAACAAAATTGATATTTCTATGAATTTAATTCTTGCTTTTTCTTTATATGCTTCCCTTTATTGCAGATGGTCTTTTGGAGTTGTTTTGTGGGAACTATCCACCATGGGTAAGTTAGATTTACAAATCTTTGTATACTGATGCTTGTAGAGTAAAACTCCAGTCATTTTCCTATACCCAAGGAAATTGAGAGGAATCCCCAAGAAAAAAGGTAGGGAAAAGCTGACTGTTCAGTTTTATGATAGCAATCACGGGAGAATCGAACCATAATGTCGTGATTGCCAAACAACTAGAAAAAATAATAGGCTAGTTTCCGCCGCTCTCTCGTGTCCGGTCTTGTTCCTTACCGAGACGAGACAGCTGTCTTTACTGGGGAGGAGCTCAGGCTCATAATAATCCAGCCTATAAGTCATACTCTTAACTAGCCTGAGAAAACAGCCGACATTTGGCGACGCTACCACTGGTTTCCCCGCCAAATGACGTCTGAAAAATGAGCGCAGAAATTCTATGCGCGTCACTATCCAGATCTGGGTAGTGCTTCTGATTGGTTGAATCAAATTTCCCACGCCGCACAACCAATCAGAAGCACTTCCCAGATTTGGGTAGTGACGCGTCATCAGTATGGAATTTCTGCGCTCGTTTCTCAGAAGTCATTTGGCGGGGAAACCAGTGGTAGCGTCGCCAAACGTAAGCCGTTTTCTCAGGCTAACCCTTAACCAAAACCTGACCTGATATCACGCGTTACTTAGCAAAATGAATACTCAATAACTATTTTTTAACCCTCCCGGAAGTTGATAAATTGATAATACTGATAATGGTAATTGAACTGAGTGGAGAGCAATTTGGTCTGAAATCATTCGATTTGTCACAACTATGATTTCAGAACAAAACTGCACGACACGAAGTTGAATCATCACCTTATTACAGCCATTTTAAAATCGCAGAATTCAATCAGTACCATCAGTGATTGGGCGTGGCAACAGACAAGATTGCTCTTTATCCCTCATACTCTTTAACATATATTCTGAAGCCATGCTAAGAGATGCTTCTTAAAAGCTTAAAAGCGGTGTGAATAAGAGTGTTCGAGTGGGAGGTCATCTCATGAAGACAGTGCACTTAATTTGCGGATGAATGATCAACCTTAGCCAGTTCAGTAACTTATGATGGATAAAACGCAGGAATCCGCGGGAGAATATGGCATGAAGATCAATGTTAAGAAGACTAAGGTCATGGAAGTCATTAAGAGGCCTGGTCTTGAGGAATTCACGATCTTTCTTGAGGGTAACAATTAAGTCAAGAATCGCACCTTAACTACCTTGGGAGCCTTATTACACAGGATGGATCCTGAGAGAAAGAAATTACATCGAAAATAGCCCGAGAACGCGTTTACTAAGAGAAAAGAACTGCTGACAAAAGCCTTCAGCCTTTGCCTGAAGAAGAGAATAACAGATTTGCATGATGACGTCACGCGCGCACTGCATGCTGGTCAAACTTCCGGGAGATTCAAAAACAATGGCGGCAAACGAGGCGTTCAAAGATGTTCACAGGTCAAAGAACAAAACTTTATCAACAATTTTAACGGAAGACGACGTTCCTGGGGCATTTTTAAAGGGACGGAAACCTGAACAGTTAAAAAACGATGGGTTGAAACATTGGTTGAGGTGGCACTCGCGTGCAACCGCTTGAGAGGTAAACATGACATTTGTGCAGTGTTTTGGCATCCATGCTGGGTTATTTTTTATTTTTTTTGCCAACATTTAATTTTTAGGGTTAAAGATTATATTTCCAGTGGACTACACATGAAGGTAACTAATCCTGATGGGGGAATTCACTCCACTGGAAAAACAATTGGAAGGTACTGGTAATGAACGTGATGACAAGGTTGTTGAGTGGCCCAAAGAAGGCTGGACCTTAAGCCTATAAAAAGCACCGGAGTTTCAACATTGTTTTATATTTTCATATCTGTCTGGAGGGAGAAACAGCGAGAAAAAAAGACAAGGGGCGTTTAAAAGCAAACGAGAAGGGTACGCTTTGTTTAAGGCTTCCCATGTCTTGGATGTAAAATTTAACAGCTCTCATGATGATTTCTGCTTTTCTGATGCAAGAGTAAAGGCTTCTATGACCAGAAACAAGATGTATAGAACAAAAGTTAGACAAAACAAAACAGGTGAAGTTGTTTCTGCTCAATGCACTTGTAAAGCTGGCGCTGATGGATATTGTAAACATGTTGGGGCCTTATTATATGCCATACTTGACTTCTCTGAATGTGGCCTTGGGAAGATGCCTCCAAACAGTTCTTGCACATAAAGGCCTCAGCAGTGGCATAAACCAACCGAACGAACATCAAACGTTCCAGTTCTTTTCAAAGATGCTGAGAAAAGAAAGAAGACTGAAGAAAGGACTGAAAGGAAAAACCAGAAAGTGGCATATTCACCATGTCCCTCCTTTGCTCTACAGGTTACAAGAAAATAGATTAAGGACCTCTACAATGAATTAAAAAACTTGTCTAAGGAGTCAAATGCAGTAATTCTCAATGTGTTACAAGGCAATGATTGGCAGCCTGTAACTGTAAAAAAAAATAGAAGATAAGTTTGCTAAACACACTGTTCTTGTTGATCATGATTATCTACCTGGTAAAGATAAAGAAATGAAACTCAGACAGAGATAGAAGCTTCTAAATGTGAATTAGATCATTTTTTCAAGAAAGGCCCAGTACATGGTTTTGGGGAAAATCAGCGTGAGCTACTAGACATCAACTTTTTACCAGACTTAATCATTTCCCATTCTGTAGTAATTTCTAACTTACCTGAACAACAGACTGAAACTAGAATGATTGTAGAAACTGAAACTGATGAAGCTATGATTTCTGAGGAAACTTTAAATGATGATCCTGATTTTCAAAGCAATAGTAACTTTATCATACCCAATCCCACACAGTGCTACCCAGATGACTTGGATTTAACAGATGAGAACTTTATAGCAGTTTGTAAAGAGTACATGAAAACCATCAAAATAACTGAAGATGGTATCAACACTGCTGAGGAAAAAACAAGAGGGCAATCTAGCAACTCAAATTGGTTTCAATACAGATGTAGAAGACTAACTGCATCGAAATTTGGTGAAATCACTAACAGAAGAGTAATTACACCCCCTGATAGGCTTGTGAGGGATGTGTTTCAGTACAACTGCCGGCCAAATATACCATATCAGTGTCAAGTGGGGTTGGAAATGGAACCAATCATCATAGGTAAATACATTCATCATCAAGAAAACAATGGTCATGAGGGCATCACTATGAAAGATAAAGGCCTTGTTATTGATAAGGATAATCCTGTGCTGGCTGCAAGTGTTCATGGTAAAGTCAGTAATCCAACAAATAAATATCATCCAATTGGAAACCTTGAGGCAAAATACAAGTTATTCCCATCAAAGTTAAAGGAACAAGTGGATACAAAGCAAACTTCGTTACTTAAAGTTCTTGCAAAACACACCAAGAATTTCTGCTTGGAGATTACAGAATCAGGACTCAGACTCAAACAAAAACATTCATACTATAAACAAGTTCAGGGGGGTATGGCAATAACTATAAAGCCACGGTGTGATTTTGTTGTGTACACTTATTTCATGAATCGTGAGGATATACACATTCAAAGTATTTTCTTTGATCCAGCATTCTGAGAAGCACTCAAGAAAAAGCTTCTTGACTTTTATCTCTATGCTATGGTTCCTGAGCAACTTACTGGACGCGTGAAGAGAGGAATTCCCATGTACCCAAACATCTTTTCTTATAAATGACTGAAAATAATCACCCCAGGAAATAATGTCTATAGGTTTAAGAACTATGCAAAGAGTTGATTAAGTTCAACGCCTGCAGATATATATGTAATCACTGAGATAAGCCATCGGTTTGTTAACTTGATATTACGTTTATTCACCCATTTAGCGTTGCAAGAATGTTGTGAGTTGACAGGTGATTTTTTAAAAGTGGCAATTTTTAACAGTTCATCACATCTTGTAAACTACCGAGCAGAATAACCAGCCTCTACTGTTAAGTAGGTGATGGTTTTGATAGCAACTGGCCACTTCTGACAAACCAGTAATATTTTAAGTACCTTCACCTGTTGCATGAAAATTATTTATCTGGAAGATATGCATTTGCATTAAGTTTCAATATTTTGTCTACTACTACTGTCAAATTACAAATACCATATTTCCTCAATTAACCCTTTAAACCCTGGCATCAGTATGCATATTCTCCACACTGTTTTTCATGCATTTCCTATGCTACCAATGATAATTTTTTAAAGAAATGTTAAAATCTTTTATATTTGGTGCTTATTTCCATTCTTCACACAACATGTCTACTTTATCAAACACTTATTGGGTAAATCCTGTACACCAATACTATGTACCTTGTATTTCTTACCAATTCAAGAAGTTATTTTAAAAAAGATGATGTTGACAAAATTTGGGAAGTTTGCTGTTTACTGGCTAATTTCAAGGAGCCTTGACTATACTACCAGTGGCCCTTGAAATTAGCCAGTAAACAGCAAACTTTCCAAATTTTAAAAAACATCTTCAGTCATAGAATTTGGTATCTTTGTATGCGAACTGATGCAATCTCCCTGGTTTCATCTTCTTTATCAGGATTTACCTGGTCTTTACTTCTCATGAAGGGTGGAATATTAAGGTAAACTTTCTTCGATGCTAATAGGTCTTGGATTTCAAAACCATGATCTGCCATTACTGCATCACCCTCTTCAAGAAGCTGTGGAATGCCACAATGCTCAACAATAACTTTGTCACTAAAATGACCTCCATACAAATCTGACACAAAGGTTAAAGCACCATTAGGTGCTATTGCAACAAGGCCCTTGGCTGTATTGTGGGACTTATATGAAGAGTAAGTTTCAGATTGTGCATGGAAACATGAGGGCTTTTCAATGAATAATTCAGTACAGTCAAGGACCACCCTTGTGAGTGGGTATTTCTATTGAAAAACTCTGGGCATTGTTTCTTCAACTGTTCTTCTCGTAGCCCAAACAGGAAGTTGAATTAACCTTGAAAAAAGTAATTCGAGCCAGGTAGCAAAACTCGTTAAGACCTCTGATACACTAATATTATAGTTACCAACCAGTACTTTCTCTGGTATATTAACCCTCAATCTACACAATGTCAGTAAACGCTCGTCATCAGGCTCTAAGAAGCGCTTTTGTCCCTTCTTTTCTATATCAGGTAATTGTACCTTGGCATAATCAGAGCCCCAGTAATTTAGACGATAACAAATACCATGGGCATTTAGCAAATTGAATAATGCCACAAACTGACCAAAGGTCAGGCCAGTGTAGAAGATCATATCCTTTTCTGATTCTTTAAAACGCTTTAAACCAAATTTAAGGATGGACAGATCCCGTTCCAACGATCCTTTTAAACGTAGAACGTTTCCCAGTTCTTCTCTCAATTGTCTAATCTCTTGACGATCACGCTTGGACTCATCAGCCTTTGATGTAGTGGTCGAAGCTGGTAAACTAGGTGAGGGCTGCGTCTCTTGGTTGGATGTCGAAGATTTGTTAACGATTAGTTTTCTCCTTGGTTCAGGTGACCGCCTGGGATGAGATTTTGCCAAAGGAAAAAGAACAGGAACATTGTTCATGTAGGTCTTTTTCCTCCTTTGAAATGCAAGCTACATACTCGGTGTCCAGTGGTCGGATTGACATTTTTCCTCGATATTGAGTGTAACCAGCGACGCCTCAAATTCTTTTCCTTTCGGAAAACATAACCCGACAGATGCGTGTCTCTTTTACTGTTCTTGACTACAAATACCAGCATGCAGTGCGCGCGTGACGTCATCATGCAAATATGCTATTATAAAGACTGTCATCTTGACTTGAGTACTCTTCTGTATGGAGCCAAATTATGGACCTTGAAGAAAGAGGACGTGCAAAGGCTGGAGAGCTGTGGGATATGGCTTTGGAAAGAGGTCTTAAACGTTACTTGGTCTGACAGGGTCTGTAACGAAGAAGAATTGAGGCGTGACGGTGAGGAGAGGGCCATCATATCTGTTATCAACAGAAGACAGAGAGTCTGGCTTGGTCATACCCTGCGACATGGTGATCATGTCCCATTAGTTACTTAGGGAAGAATACCAGGAAAGAGACCACCTGGAAGACCTCGAGTGGGAATATTGCATAGAGTGAAGGATGGCAACTCTTATGCAGGGGTCAAGAGGCGGAAGGAAGGACCTCCCTGTGGGCAGATCAAGTAGCCCTTTGAAAAGCGGAAACAGAAGGGTTTTTACATTTCATTTTGTATTCGAAACAGAAATGATGCGATATAAAGTAAAAAGGTGCGACGTGGTTTAGAACATAAATAGCGCCATTTAGAACAGATGTGATTGAGACCAAAATATAGTGTAATTTTTGAATAAATCACACTGCTGAGGGCCAATCGGATTGCAGGGATCACCAGCGATTTCAAAATATAAAACTAGAAAAGCCTAATAATCTTTGATGAGACAGCACTGATCTTTATTTTGTTATTTTAGGGGGTACTCCATACCCTGGGATAACCCCTATGAGGCTATGCAGTTTACTTAAATCTGGATATCGGATGGAGAAACCCAACATGTGCAGTGATGAAATGTAAGTCAGAATAGAAATAATAAAAGACATCCGAAAAGAGGGCATGATGAAGGAATACTTACATAGTTCTTCAAACAGTTTTTTTTCTTCTCAAATTGTCAGCCTTTTCCAAGGAGTGGAAACTGCAGCGCGCCTCTTTCCTTCACGTTACCCCGTTCTAAAAAGGGCCTATAGAACACAAGTGTCTTCAACATTCAAAGTAAATGGAGACATATCTTTGTGTAGCAGTATTTTAAACTAGGGCTTCCTTTCTCGACAGATACAAATTGATGATGGACTGCTGGAAGGGGGATCCAAATGAACGACCCTCCTTCGTTCAACTAATACCGATACTAGAAGAGATGATGACAGAAGATACCCCTTACTATTGTTTCAGACTACTGGATCCGAACCAGCCATGTTACCGTGAGGCATCCGCTACTAACACCAGTAAAACTAGTACTCTTGAAACGAAGCTGTAATTTCCGTAGGGTCTCTGTGGTTTAATTTTTGTCAAAGCATCCTTTTCTTCTTTAGATTGTTATAGGGGTCTCGGGGGAAAGGTGTGGGGCTCCAATATGAAAGCATAGGGGAATACTTGACGGATAAGTAGATTAATAGTTGCAGTTGCACCTGTCCGCAACACCAAGAAACTATACCCATAAACTGAAACCGTTGTTTTCATCTTCACTGTTTGCCAGTATTCATAACCAGTCTCCCCTATTACGATCACAAATGACAGCCAAAGTAGAACACTCTCTAAACACCGTCTTGTTCTATATAGATATTTCTTTACGCACAACCCTAAAGCTACGCACAAACGGACGCAACAACTTCCCTTCCAACCATGTTGAACAACGTCGCGAGTTGTTGGCCAACAAAGTTACGTCCGTTTGCAAGGGGGTTAAGCGATACATTTATGGTTAAAAATATTGGCTTTTTGTCTTGCACAGCTAAAGTGAGACCAAAATCTGCAATGTCTACGTCTAAGAGAGACGAGCAACCGCGTCATTTTCATATGGGAGTTTCCTCGCCCAGCAAGGAACAGGACTGAGATGACGAGCACAAATGTTTATCGGGTTATTACAATAAGATACCTAATAATATTTCATTTCATTTGAAAGACATCGAGAAAATACTGAATAGCACTGGTAATATAACAATTTTAGGGACTTAAATCGGTTCATTCTCTACAAATGACTATTAAGTTGTTAGTATGTCCACACTATACTCGAAATAGATTTTCGCGTCGACATGAAAATGTATCCGTAAAGAACTGGAACAAGTCGTCCACACACATCGAACATCGCACCAGAGCGGCCGGTTTGCCGAGAGGCCAGTTTGGTGCACTAAATCACAGTCCTCTCTCCTGAAAATATGCTTTCATATCAGTGGGTCCCAGCCCATGCTCGCTCCTACTCATTTTACTTGAAAACCTGTTCACACTGCGACGAAAAGTGGCAGAAACCTATCCGATATATGATGATCCACTTTTCAACATCGACGGCGGCGCAGTTTCGCTCCTTAACAGAAATAGCCGGAAAATCACCGTTCTGCTTTATGAACTGACAGAAGCAAAATCCGGTATTTTTTTCGTGTCGGTGCGAGGGCTTTCCGGTATAGTGTGGCTGATCATTGCCTTCAGAGTTCCTCAGACGCCAGATATTAACCTACCACATAATTCGGTGGCTACAATTCAATGTTACGAACGTTTCAATTGGCTAGGTTAGATTACAACATTGCCACTTATAAACATGTCATGTCATGTTGGAGAAACGAACTATTGACTCAAAAAGGTGCGATCAGGAGTAAGGTGGTAAAAGGCACTTTGGTTCACCATAACAATATTGCGCCAGTAGAAGAAAATAAAGCCAAAGTATTGTCGAGACCTTTGCTGGTGTTGAATAATAATTATAGTGATTATAGTTTAGATTTTTGTGGTCTTTCAAATGGTGTCATTAGCAGATCACTCGGGAAACCCACGTCTGGGTATTAAAAGTGAAGGTTCGGATTACCAGGGCAGTTCGGAAAAAATAACATTCACTTTCCGACCAATAGAGAGGAGAAGACGTTAGTCACGTTGCCATGGTAGCAAAATGTTTAGATGACAGAAAACCGATAAAGTCACTTAAAAGTCTATTCGCTCTATTTCCAACTTCACCGATCTTATTCATTTTCATTTAATTTGGCAAATCTTGGCGAAATTTTCTTTGGGACCGTATCTATCGTTATCTAAGTTTAGAAAAAGGAAGCGACAATTTTTGTGTTGTGTTCACCTACTCCATACAGCAGGCTCGTGAAATTAGGAATTTTTATGTCGTAGTGGTGCACCGACGGCAAAGAAATGTACAAAATAGCGTGATACACGTGAAAAGTTGTTGTTTGTTCTTTTTCCGTTCTCCTTGCCGTCGCCGTCGTCGTTGGTTTTGTTGTCTTCCAGAAATAGTGCTACCATGGTAACGTGACGTCACTCTTCTCCTTTATGGTGCCAATACAATAAGCAATGCAGGAACCTTTGTTACAATTTCTGCAACTAAGGTCTGGTTTGGAAGTTAGTATATATAACACACTATTCTCCAAAGACACACACAGTCAGGGTTAGAAACGCGAAGGAAGGTATCCGCCTAGGCGTTCATCCGATATCCCTCCTCGATCTGCATCATTTCTATACTTCTTTTACTTAATGGATCATACACCAGGAACGAAGTCAGCACCAGCAAGAACGTTTCAATGGTTGTAGCAAGAACTTAATTTTTGCAACTACATTTATTCATTTAACACAATACTGACATAACAATATTTCTTCACTTTATAATGATGATAAAATGAAGCAGATATAATGATGGCAGGGGTAAGATAAAATATTGTAGGGGCTTCGGTATGAAAGGGGTCATTTTGATATATCGTGCTATTATCCAAATTCACGACCAGGCCAAGAAAACCAGAGGAAACGAAAGTCATCACTCTTCTTCTTCGTGTTCTCAGGACATGACGTCAATGGATATACCGACAGTGGCCTATTTCATAAACAAATGTCCAGCTTTTGTCAGTTTCTATATATTTGATGTCATTCTGTAAAATAAATTAAAGGCCTTTTAACTTGATCTGTGTTTGTGGTCATTTCTGAGTGATACGCTGAGAATCTCGAGAAAAGCAACCTCCGGTTTTAACCCGAAAACACATGGCTCTTGGGTCTTGGTATAGGACCGTAGACGGATAAAAGAGCTACCAGCAACAAAAACACGGTGCCTGCTGCAATACCTCGCATAAAGAGCAACTGGTCTTCTCTCACGCTAGCATTCTTTTCTGAATCAGACGCCATCGTTGTTGATTGCTTTTATCTCCACACAGAAATGTTCGTGACCTGGATCGTGATTATCCTCACGCAAACTCTGCGGAAAATACGTTGAAGTCCGCCGACCAGTAAGATTTGACTATGATTGGCCCATGTGAAGCGTTATGTATATTAACGCTGTTAACCAAACATTAAAGATCCCCCTTTTTGTCACAGAAAGACAAACAACAAACAAATTATCGATATCGTCAGTAGTCGCCATAAACTTGGATGTCACGCGAGGCGACGACCATCACGCAAGTTCATTTTTTGAATGTGCATTTTTCATTAAAACAAGAAGGACTCGACCGAACAAAGGCCATTGCAAGAAATGTCTCTGAATAAAATGTTTTGAACAGATTGCAATGTTTTGGCCCTCTGTCCATTTCAATTTCGTCTTACACTGGCGGTGTAAAAATGTGAAGAGATGTGTAAGGCCTCGCTACAAAATGAATACATGTGCACATACGCACTGTAGCCTCAGGCTGGCAGATTTTGTAGCTGTGCTAGTCAGGACTACATTTTTAAATTTTTAGTTTTGAGGGATGTAATTGGTAATACAATGTAATTATTGTCAGTTCAATTAATCAGTAAAAATGTTTGTCACATCCTTACTGAGAAAGAATGACCTGCAAAATTCATTTTCAATTCACAGAGTAATCTGCTTTTCAGACACAGCTGTACCCCTTTCCCTCCGTGTCTGTAACACCTGAGTTTAAACATGTCATTGCAGCTGCTACTTTCTTTTTACATGTATAATGACCAACATCAATTTTCTCCTAACCATACCAATACATATCAAGCAAGAAAGTTATGAGAGTTAAAAATTCAGTGATCATTAAACAAATTTTCTCAACTAGTTCTGTAAGAAAATGTATGGAATCAGACACAAGAATTTGTATGTGGATATTGCAACATACCCTAATCTCCCATCTTCAGCTGAGAAGTGCCCAGTCAACAACTCTCCAGGGATGTATGTCACGGTGGACAGTCCTGTGTTTGCAGCCAGTGTTCCATTGCAGATCATGCGCAGAAGCTGAAGCACTCTCATGTCATGTGAATGGAGACCACCGTTAGGGACAGATACATTGGTCAGTCTTACTGGGACACCCATTACAGTGCTAAGAGTTGCAATGGTGCTGAGAAATATTCCACTCTGGTATGAAAAAGAGAAAACAAAAAAATAATGTTGAATACTCTTGCTAAAGAGATTTTTTTACATTACTATCATATATGCATAACTTTAGGCCCAGTTCAAAGGTTGAACTTTTCATGTACCCAACCTAATCCCTTCAATTACTGTGAAACTCACAAAACCGCGAACACCAGAAATATTAATTTATGGAATGTTATTGGTTTGCGAGAAATAATCCAATAAGGCTCGAGATAACTAAACCGCAAACAGCAACGGCAATTAGTTTGTGGTTTTGAGGTTTGCTCGCATGTCCTGAACTTTAGTGTGATTGGCCAGTACACAATCAACATTCCTGAAATTTTTCAGGTGTTCCTGGTTTTCTGAGTTTGACAGTAAATACATGAAGGGATGGACGTTTGAAGTCCGACATGGCTAATTTAATTAATTTAGGTCGACCCATAAATCGAAAAAAAAAAGAGTAGCACACATGAGAATTTTGACTTGGTTTCAAATGTCAAACTTCTTATGTGCCAGACCTAATGCATAAATTACTACAATATATTTTCCCTGGTAAGCATTGTACACCATTGTACATCGTAGGACATCTGAATCAACTGTCAAACATGTACCATTTTAGTTGACGTGAATATAGGTATTATCTGGGACATGAAAAGTTCGATGTTTGAACTGGGTCTTACTGACCGTTCATGAAGTCTGCATGGCTGGATATTGGCCAAAGTTCTTTTTATTTGCATTTTAATGGACCAAGTCCCTTGTAAAAGTCAACTCAGTAAGAACACAAAAAAAGAACAAGGCCATCATTCAGCCATCTTGACCAAACAAGCATGGTCAATTCGCCATTTGCACACCTCCCATAATACACCTTGTTTGCCCTCCAAAATAATTTTGCACAAGCATTCTCTTCAATTTCTTTTGGGACCACTGAAATACCCAGGGGAAATAAAAAACCAAGGTCATGCAAAAGTTTGGGGGGCAAGGTGTATTTTGGAGAGACGTGCAAATGGCAAATAAAAGATTTATGCCAAAAAGATAACTTTTTCTTGTGGGACTAAGGCAGCAAATCCTGAGTGAGCAAGATTTCCCATCTTTCCGCTGCTTTTTTGAGTTTTTCAGCATACATTACGCATATAATGTGGTTCAATTTTATCCTTGGTTTAAATTTTACTTCCTTTTGTTTTATACTCCTTATCATACATTACCACCCATAACGAAAAGTAGACGACCGAGAGGCACATGAGAGGAGATGCGAACGCGAGGGGTGGGGGAGAGAAAGGAGAGCTCCTTTCTTCAGCCTCTCACAGCTTCGCCACTCACTTGCTTGTTCTCACATGGCTCGCTTCACTTGTTCTCACGTGGCTCACTGCGCTCGCCCAAATAGGAAAGCTTGCTCACAGGCTACACTATAAATAATAAAATACTAATAAATAATGTCTTTAGTCATTCAAGTCTTCAGAGTGACCAACATCAATTTTCTCCCAGCAACATCAATACATCAAAATTCCATGATCACCAACTGCTTTTATCTGTTATCAAATTCTCTAAACAAATCCATTAAAAAATGCATGGATAAAAGAGAAGGGAATTTGTATGTGGCTATTGGGGCTGAAAGGGTTAACAATGCTTTCTATTAAACTAAAAGTGCAGAAATGTCAAGAAAAACCCTGGTCTGGCACCTGCACACCTGTAAATTAAACCCTCTTAGAGTTTTTCCCCTTATAGGAAATAAAAGGGTCAAAGTCCCAAAAGAACACAGTCCCTGATTCAGAGAAAGGGAGATGTTTCTTTTGACCAAAGGTATTGAAATAGCTACCACTTCAGGAATGACTCGTTATACATCTATACATGATCTATGACTCTATACATCACTGGGAGAGAGGGTAGTGGGCAAAACACTGACCCCCAGTCCGTGAACTACCCTATCAACTACCCATATGGACTAATCTAAAATGGACTACACCACTAAAGATTAGTGTGGGTTAGGAAACTGAGTGAATCAAGCTTCACGTCAGTTTCCCCAAATGAAACCTGATTCACTCAGTTTCCTAACCTTAAATCACTAGACTTCAGTGGGGTAGTCGATTTTAGCGTAATCGATAGAGAAAGAGGGGTGCAGATATTCACTGTAATGGTCCAAAAGACTACAAGGAGCGTCATGCTACAAAGAGCTCCTACCACATGGGCCTCATAAGCTTGTCTGCGCCTTTACATATCGACTATAAAGATATTTTGTATGTTAACAAACCTGTGAACATATGCTGGGCTTCTTCGCTGTTGTTCACGTCTGGATGATATTTCAGCGACAATTCATGATACGCGGCTTTAATTACAGCCTGCGTGGCGGAGTGCGGCACATCCAGGACATCATAAAGTGATCTCCGTTTGGAAAGTGTCCGGCCGTAAAGACATCTTGCAGTGATAGTTTGAAGACAGGAATGAGAGTACGTACATGATGTCCGACCGTATTGTGCCTCATATTTTGTCCAGCAAGAGCTACACCTCAGTCCATCGTGAATGTTAAATTTGTAGGAAACATGGATAAAATCTTATAAAAATAAAGTTCATCGACAAACTCGGAAGAAATGAGGAAAAATTACGATAAGTTTCATTACCCAGGGTGATGATGCATCCGCCATTTTAAAAAATTTAACCACTACCCAGATCGTTGTCGGATCGTAAGGTCCTTACTGAGGACAACAGCCGACCGCAGAGGGATCATCTCTTGCACAGTCGAAACGTCGCGATAAAGAAAGGACGCTTAATGTATGAAAAAATAATAATAATGATAATAATAAACAAAGCCTAGCATACAGTGATAAAACAATACAATGCTATAAAATGATATAATACAATGATAAAACTTTATGATATTAAGTGTGATTTTATATGATCACGGAATGGTTCGATTTCACTGATAATTAATTCATACATTTATGGCACTTTAAAGACTTTTTTTTCCAAATAAAAGAACTGGTGACTGATTTGGCTTATAGTCTTGTTTTATAAGCACGTTGAGGTTGCGAAGAGAAAATAACAAAAAGACAGCTACAGGAGCAAATAACTCGGAGCGAGCAACTTCCATGCGCTAGTGTCACGTCGTTAAAGGAGCAGTTTACCTTTAGAACGGTTTTACAGCGAATTTTGAATATCTTTTAAATATCACAAACCAGTCAGCAAAACCTTCAGAGCTAAAATGATATTTTTTCCTTTTAATAACGTTTAGTTTTTCTCTTTGACATTTTATTCTTCGAATGCTCTCATAGACATGGTGGAGATTCTATGTTCGCGGGAAAAAGTGAGTCTAAAAATAAACTGGTCCCTAAAAACGTCGTGACATAGGCCTAGTATGGGAGTTGCTCGCTCCGGGTGCGGGGTTATGGGCTCCTGACAGGAAATAGTCAACCGACTACACGTGCCAAGGCGATAGTCAAACGATCACGCGCGGTGCCAGTGAAGATAAAGAAATTACTGTTCGAAAAGAGAGCGGGGGAAGTCATCTATTATTTTTGGACGTCAGTCAGTTTGACAAGTATGCACTGTGGCAATCGCGTTCCCACGAGGGGAGAGGACTCTGGGAACGAGGTTGGCACTCCTTGGCTCCACCTAAACCGAGCCACGCTTTTACAATGAAAGCACTTTTAATTTATTTTATTTGTTTATTTATTCGTTTATTATTATAATAATTTGTTCTGGTTGGGGTGGTGGGGGTGGGGGGATGGACTTGGGGCCATTCATTCAAACCAACGCGAAAATGAGAACAGTTAGTCCCCGCAGTCTCAGTCCCCAATAAAAAATTAATTAATGTTCTTAAAGTAAACAGTGTGTATCGCATTGATTCATTTTACTTGAAGTATCCCTTCTAAAGTCTGGCAAGAAGACGTCGATCGCGCTGCATCGATGAGCAAACGTCCAAACATCTAAGAGACCACTGTAAACAAGAGTTACACAGCAGCGAGCTCACCATTTTTCAATGAAAAATTTAAAACAATGCTTACAGCCCCTCAGATGCGAGAGGAGGTGTTCAGTTACAGTGCTTTTTTCGCGAGGTAAGTTACGAATCGACACGAGGCCGAAAAGGTTTCGAGCCAAGGACTTCCGGACCACTAATTACTAAGTTCGTCTCAGTAATGGAGGAGGGGTTGGGGGGATCCTTTCAAAACTATACGGGAGTCAAAAATGACTGTAACTTAGTGCGTTGTATTGTAACAAAAAATACTTCTCCCCGTAGGAATTTTGAGTAATTTTAAGCCCAGCTCTGCCTAAATAATACCGAAAAACAACAGCTGGCATTTTTTTCTGAACTATGTCTGATTGTAGTTTGTAGCAAGTGATACGCTACAACAACTCCAGGTCAAGATTAGCATGCGAGCAAGCTCTCCATTTAGGGGTTAGCGTGCTAAGTACACGCGCGAGTAGCGCGCGAGGGAAGACAAATGGAGAGCTTGCTCGCAGGCTAGTGTAAGATAGTTTTGCTTGGTTGTAGAGGTATTTATTGCGTTGCAAACAAATAAATACTTCGATCATAGATTAAGCAAATAGATTTTGTAGTCTGGGAGCCCATCATAAGCCAAAGAATTGAACATAATATGATTATTGACCAGCTGACTTGAATTTCATTTTAGATCCTGCCTGGAATAAATCTCGTTCTTAAATTTCTAGTACCACACCCTTATTTTAGGAGTACCCTCCGGTTTTCTGAAACTTCAGGCTCGGTATTTCCTGAGTGTGACTTAAATAACTAGTATTCATTTCTGACTCATCAAATTGCATTGGAATGAACAAGGGTGTTTAGAATCATGTCGCAAATCTGTTCTCAAGTTCAGTCGTTTTATAGCCAAAAACCTGGGATGAAGCAGCGTAGTTAACAGGCTCCTAAATCGCTCTTTTTCGTTGTTTATTGTTGAAGCATCAACATACATGCGTCAATAAAGAAGAAACTAATAACTCATTGAAATTGTCCACTAAGCCGAACGGGCGAGCTTGTGAAAATATTGAAGGTCGAGAATTTGGGATAAGTATAGTCTTTACGCCAACATGACCTCTGTTTCCTCCTTCATATCATCTGTATCATTATATTATCGCTACTAAAACGTTCCTTTAATTTAGGTTTATTCTGTAGTTCGTTTGGGCATTTTTACAGAGGAAATTGTTGACTTTTTGCGCATTTTGTGCAGTTAATTGTTGCTTCAGAATTCAGGCGAGGCTTTTCGGATGTTTTGATAAGGTCTTAACCTACCATCAAATTCTCGAAATAAAAAATAGTTAAGTGTATAATGTGAAGGGGTATAATAGGGTAGTTTGACATCGTAATTTTGAAAAACTGACTAGTATGTGAATGATCAACAGTAAATAGAAACCATTAGCTAGATAACACTTATTTAATCTATTCATTTTTGAGTAAAATTTAACTTCCGCATTTTTAAGGACTCAGTCTAATTGCTCGAATGCATCTTTAACTGAAGACCCTCGGTCACTGGCAAGCAAGTAACCAGAAATACATTTTCTCTTGCTTTACTCGGTTATCGAAATAGGTCATCGTCCAAATAAATTAGAGCCAGTGGGGCTCGGTCAATAGTCTAGCTCTGTTTGACATCTTACTTTGTCTCTTTTGTTCGACTGGTTTGTAATCTGAAACAGCATGACCTTTGGGGAGTATAAAATGATTCACTCTTTTTGTTTCGGTTCCCTAATAAATGCATAAAAACTGTTTTTGGCATGTATCAACACAATTACGATTAACAAAAAACTGTGATACAATGGAATCTAGATATAACGAAGGGCATGGCGACTTACAAAATACGTTCTTGGTTCGCCATATCGAGGCTTCTCCTCTTACAAAACCATTTCACCAGCTACAAATGAGAGACAAATTATAGTGTTGAGACACCTCTATAAAATGGCTTCTTTTTTGCACAGTGGACATACCTACCCCATCCCCTTGTGTATCCCCACCCCTCCCCCAGAATCAATGTTGTATTTAGACCTTCATGTCTTTCTTTTGCTAAAAACAAACAAGCGGGAGATGGGGGATTTAGTTTACGGCGTTTAAGCAGAACTAAATGATAAATGAATGAAATGCATGGTAGATAAAGCGCGCGTGTTAGACAAGTATAAAGTGTGCCAACTACATTTGTCCCTAATTGGACACTTCCCGAGGGTTATATACAGGGACTTTCTCTTTACCTACCCATTCTTTTCCATTTCAGTGTATTTGCTATTATTTTTTTTGCGCAGTTTTATTGGTGTTTTTGTTGTTGCAGTACCAAATGCTCCACCAGCTAATGTCATAGGAAAAAATGTAACCTCTACCAATATTTTTGTACAGTGGGATGAAGTTCCAGCAAACAATCAAAATGGTGTTATAGTGAACTATACAGTCACCTACACAGAGTTGCCTATAGCTAATGGTAGTTCAACAGCAGAGGTGGTGATTGCTCCAAAACGAAATGCTACATTGACAGGTTTGAAAAAATTTACCAACTACAGGGTCACAGTGTTTGCGTCTACTGCTAAAGGAGGTGGCAATAGAAGTGATCCCATTATTGTCATTACAGACGAAGATGGTAAGTACAATTCTGGTCTTCATTAATTTGTACTGTAGCTTCCTTATTTTACATACTTAATCGGCATTAAAAGTTCTTTTAAATTATGAGGTGGAAACACTTTATCTTGAAGTGGGTAACACTAGTCTCCTTAACTTGTACAATGACATGCAAAGTGACTAGTAGACCTGCAATGCCAGTTTGGGATGTTTGTCTTTTGTCTGTCCCATTCAACTAGTTACGTTAGAAGAAACCTGTCCTCTAAAATACTACTTACACAGTACTTACATAGTTAATTACTTGGTACACTAGCTAAAGACCTGATCATCTTTCAACTCCCACTTATCTATTACTAAGGGACTTTTAGTAATATGGATCGATTCTGCTTACCTTTTTTTGCGTTGCTAGGTTTTAATATTACTGGTCATTCTATAATAAGCTGACAATTGTCGATTTTAGACCTGTCCCTAGTTGTTCAAATGGTTGTTAACACTATTCACCGGATAAATCTCTATCCACTGGATAGCGCAATTGGTTTCGCCAACTGCACTTGTAACATGTATCCACTGAATGCTTCAATAAGGGAAGTAACGCTGACAGGACTCGATAAAAATACAGAATATAAAATTATGCTGTTTGCTAATACCTCAAAAGGAGGTGGAAATGAGAGCGAACCTGTCACTGTAAAAATGGACGAAGTATACCACTGCGCAGGTTACTAGCGCAGCTTTAGTTATGGAATGCAATATTACCCAAATTTAAACTGACATGGAGAGGAAAAAATATTCATCTATATTTGATGGTAAACTTCGTCTGGCGTTAAACAATGGAGTCTTTCATTGGATTTACGATCGTTTCGCCTCCGAATAAAAATAAAAATAATAATAATAATTGTTTTAAAATAATTTTTCCTAGTGAAACACACACATACACACACCTACAGAACAAAACTACAGCATCACGTTTTGCTAGCGGCAATAAATAATCATTTGTCTAAAGAGTGTACTTTTATTCTTACCACAGTTGCCCCTGAGTTAATGGAATATCCAAAGAATCAATTGACGATTGAAGGATCTAATGTGACCTTTTCGTGTATTGCAGGTGGTGTTCCTTCGCCCAGGATCTCATGGACCATAAATGGGACCGCTATAAATGTGACTGCTAATCCGAGAATCTATTTAACAGCAGACGGCCAGCAACTGATCGTAACAAATGTGAACAGGACGGACAGTGGAGAATACAGATGCGTGGCTAGCAACAAAGTTGGCAACGTGACGTCCATGGCAGCTAAGTTAACTGTACAATGTAAGGATACTAAGAAATGGTCCATCTACTTAAACGCAACACATTTAAAACAGAACTTCCGATGAAAACAATTACTCCGTAAGAAACACACACACCTAAAGAACATAACTACAGCTGTACAGCATGATATTTTACTAGCCCCTAAACAATGATTTGGCTAAAGAGTGTAAGTTTTTCTTATCCGTAGATGCTCCTGAGTTCTTGAAAAATCCAAAGAGTCAAACGACGAATGAAGGATCTAATGTGACATTTTCGTGTATTGCAAGTGGTGCTCCGGAGCCCAGTCTCTCATGGACCATAAATGGAACTGCTATAAATCCGACCGCCAATCCTAGAATCGGTTCAACAGCAGACGGCCAACAACTGACCGTAACAAATGTGAAGAGGACGGACAGTGGAGAATACAGATGCGTGGCTAGCAATAACGTTACCACAGTGACGTGCAATGCTGCTAAGCTAACAGTACAATGTAAGAAAGGATGCTAGAATATGGTCCGTCTACTCAAACGCAAAACATTGATGGAAATGAGAATTAAAACAATAGCACATTGTTAAACAACAAACACACCTTTAGAACATAAGTAAAACATCAAAGTTTACGAGCCAATGAATAATCATTTGGCTAAAGAGTGTACTTTTTTGCTTCTCACAGTTGCTCCGGAGTTCATGACAACTCCAAAGAGTCAGACGACAAATGAAGGATCTAATGTGACCTTTTCTTGTGTTGCAACGGGTGTTCCTGTGCCCAGTCTCTCATGGACCATAAATGGAATTGCAAAAAATGTGACTGCCAATCCTAGAATCAGTTTATCACCAGACAGCAAACAACTGACCTTAACAAATGTGAACAGGATCGACAGGGGAGAATACAGATGCGTAGCTAGCAACGAAGTTGACAACGTGACATCCTTGGTAGCTACGTTAACAGTACACTGTAAGTAAAATAGTAGAAACTTTTTTTTCATATTAGTTTAATATTTATATATAACCGGTTTAAGATTACTTTCTAAAATTTCTTGGCAACTACATTTAATATGATAAAAGGGGAAAATTCGGAAAGAATCCAGTGGTATAGAGCTCCTTTAATCTTTGTGAAAAACGTTACAGTTTTGTGAAGCAATCCTGGTTCCTTAGGCAGCTGCTCAGCTCTATGTCATATTTCAGTAAACATTTTACAACGCTGATATTTTTCATGAACCACAATCCAAGGATAAGTGCCGTATTCTAAGGATTTTCTAGAACCACACTTGCGTGTGCGTGACTTGATGTTTAGTCAATGTTTACCCCCATACGTCATGCACACCATCTAAAAACGATTTTTGGCCTGTCATCAGATTACAATTCACTGAACGGAAGGTCGAGACGAACGATCATTTCGCTCACGTGAAATTTTACCAATTTTATATCAAGAAAGTGACGATGAGACAAAGTTAAACAAGAAAGACTGGTGTCGATAGCACTGTATATACCCTGTGAATTATGTCGTCTGTACAGCACCTCCTTGTCTTCTGTTTTGTTTGTATATTCAGCGTCTCGTGTCAGGGTAAGTGTTTCGCAAATAGCACTTATTGTAGTTAAAGAAATCTTATTATTTGCGTTGTTTTAAAATCGATCGTTCAAATAACAACAAAAAATGGAACACCACTGATGCAATGAGAAAATTGTCCTTTCTAACAATCAGATATCCCTGGCTGTGAAACTACTACATGCGGTCCTCGAGGAAGGAACTTGTGGCTCATAGTCTGCGACTACACCTTAGTAGCCATCACGGAAACTATTAGCGATTTGGTCATTCCGCGTTTTTTACGGATTTCGTAATCAAAGTAAAAACGTTTGAAATTCTTTGCCACA